ACCACAATCACATACGTAATTTAAAAGCAGAACATTTTTTTATAAATCAAAGAAAACTTAGGTATTTCTGGGTACCAAAAAATCTTAACTATTTTTTTTCATTGTCTTTATGAATGTAAGGTAATGGAAAATTTATAAAAAGTTACAATTAGGAAAAATTGATTACATTTATTATCGTTTACCTGCGTTGGTACTCGTTCAGATTCAGTAGTACAGGATATTTTCAGTCCGACAAGTGGTAAAAGTGGGTTTTATCAAGACAGAACGTTTCTAAGGTCTTGTATTCTTTTAGGGTTAAGTAGTAAAGATCAATTTCAGTCGGACCTGGCGTAAATTAGTAGTATTTAGTATTTTCAGTAGTACTAGTAGTAAAAATCAGTTTTAGTCAGCCTTTTTTTAATTTTTCGTAATTTTATTCTTCGCTTCTATTTATTTCGTATTATTTCAAAATTTAGTTCCAGTAGCAAAAAAGAATTTAAGTCAAACGTATTGTCAATTCTTAAAAAAATATGATATCAGTACTAATAACGGTCAATTTTAGTCAGAAAGTATGAATAATATTTAGAGACTTTTGCATTTGCCCTGGGAAAAAAAATGTAGAAGTAATTATTTCTGTCGAAAAGTTTTGCCATAAAAACAAATTTGTTGTTTTTCTAGTTTTTTGTACCATATTTCTCAAATTCAGGTCACTAGATGTTATTTCGAGATGCAAGTAGACATACAGCAAGAGATGAAAAATAAAATTATTTTCTTTAAAAAAAATTGAAGATAAAATTTTTAAGTATCTAGTTTTGATTTTCGTAATAGTTTTATGTCGACTAAATTTTTGATTTTTTTTTATATCGACTTATTTATAATAATTTCTGAAAAAATTATTTGACAATTTTCAAATTCATTTGTTTACAATATTTAATTTTACGAAATTTCAATTATTCGTAAATTCTTCAATTAAATATATATCAGAAAATAAAAACTTCAAATAATTTTTAAAAAAATACGCAATTAAACTTTTTCAAAAAAAATTTCTTCCACAAAATTGTTAGTTAAAAATATGAAAAATTCAGATTTTCAAAGATTTTAATTTAAAACGTTTTCAAATTCAATTATTTAAGAATTTACGTTATGCTTTTAATATTCAATTATAATTTAAAATTTTAACTGAAATCAATTTTTAAATCAATTTTTATGAGAAAATTCTACTAGAATTCAATTATTTAAATACAAAAACCAATTTATTGAATTTAATATAAATAAATTTTTATATAATTGGATTCTTTTGGCGAATTTTAATAAAATTTTTAAGAATAATTACATTTTTCGAGAAATTTGATTAAAATTGTATTAAAAATAATTTGAAATTCTGCAATAGAGTTTTATTATATATGAAAATAATTGAATTAATTGCGAAGAATTTTATAAAAAGTTGTTAATTAGAATTAATTTTTTTCAAAAAAATTTATGCAAATTTTATTTTTAATAATTGAATTCTTTTGGAAAATTTTATTAAAATAATAGATATACAAATTATTGAATAAAGAAAATTTTTTGAAAATAATTGAAATTTTGCAATAAATTTTATTAAAATTTTTAAAAATAATTGAATTTAATTACTTTTGAAAATAATTGAATTCTTGTGATGAATATTGTTATTTATGTGAAAATAATTGAATTTTACAATGAATTTTATAAAAATTCCTGAATACATTTTTTTTTATTTTTTGGAAAATAGTTGAATTGTTGAAATTTTGAAATAGTTGAAATGTTACACTGCAAAATGTTTTGTAATGACACCTTTATTTTCCATTTTTATTGTTGCTTTTCTTTTTTCTGAATTTATAAACGGCAATATATATTTAAATTGATATTGCAAATTTTACCTTCTGTTTATTTGTATTGCAATTTTTGAAAAATATCAACGCTAAACAAGAGTTTGAAATGCTTGCAAAGTACTCGCAATTCCATTCAGCTACCCATTGAACAGACTTTAATCAATTCTGGAATAATTACGTTGCTAGTGAACAATGTGAAAAATCTTGGGTATGTTCACCTTGCTGTTCTAATTAGAAATTAGATTGTTTAATATAAACTGAAAACGTTTCTATTTGAATATTTCGAATCATTTTTAAAACATTTTTTAAAATTATTTTTTCAAAATTATTTTTTTCGACAAATAATGAATTTACAAAGTTGTTAGCAAATGAATAAATAAAGGAGTAATCAGACAAGTGAACATGTTTGCCAACTGTTGGCAAATGAAATTTTCATGATTGATATTACCAGCTATTAAAGTAGAAGAACCATGTCGGAGCGCCTGTTGCTTTTTGGCACCGATCACTTTATCTACTTACAAACATGTGTCCGGCTGAAAGCTGCTTTCAAGTGTTTGTCAACTTTTCTTTTTGCAGACAATTCACTTTGTAGTAATTTTTCATTTTTCATTTTTCATATTTCTTATCGTCTTGCGACAAAAGTGCGATTTTTATGGGACGAAAGTGTTTCTGAAGTAAGTTTTCCATAAGATCATGACCTCAAGGCAAGTCCATTTTCTCATGTGTGTGGATGATAAAGTTTAGAAGTTTAGAAGTGCAAAAGGATGCTTTCTAATGCCTGAAGGAAGAAATCTGACGGAGATATACAGTCATATGTTTCGCTATGCTTTTCAAAGAGGAGAGGACAATTCCGCTTTTCCTCATACAAAAGAGACTCACTCGCTTTTCGTGGTCTCGTGGAAACATCGACACAAAAGCATCCATATAAACATTCACAAATACCGCTCTGCCTGATGCACTTGTTCAACGGGAGCAAACGGCAAACGGCAAACGGCAAACGCGAGTGCAAGGTGCAAGTTATCGCGGTGCGTTTTCAACAGCATTTTCCCCATTGTAAAATACCGCATATTGTTCCACTTACCACCAGCTGTCGACTCCAGATTATTTTTAGAATTATAGATATTTTAACTACCAAACCACAAATTTATGACAAAATATACTTTTCTATTTTAATTAAATCTATACCTACCCATTTTGAAAAAACCGTGACTTTTATAATAATTAAAAACAAGCTGCTCTTATTATTTATTCGTTCTGCTAAGTACTTTTTATTCCCAACATATATGCAACATTGAATAAATAATAACGCTATTCATTGTCACTTATTAAATTCAGCAATTATGTATTTACTATTGCTCATATGTTGGGAATGAAAATTTTATTTTCAGCGTCTGACGAAGATGAATTTTTCACGGTACACTTCATGCTATTGTTTTTTTTTTTAAACTCCGTTTTTGAATTAGGTCATGTTCATGTATGGATCACTGATCACAGATACCCATAAATTTGACTTGTGACTCGTTATCTCATCATTGATGTCGTTTTTTCAATTACCTGACCAGCTGCACCTTATATTTTTACAATATTATAATCCACATCATCGTCGACATCATCCTATTCATTTTTCCATAATACTTTAAACATGATCTCATAATTTTGATTCCATCATTTCTTATTTACTTCCATAATTTCCGGTTTTATTATGAATCATAATTTATGAAACACCGGATTTAATGAAAACGAATTCTGAATATTGAAAAAAATTCTACACTATTTTTTCATTTTTGAAGCGGAAGGAAATGAATTATTTTTAATTACGCAAGGGGTAGTTGGAAACTTCTGAACTAGTTGAATAATACATATTACCTTAAAAGCAATCAGTTTCTGTTAGGATGAATATGTGCTATTAGGAAAAATAATGGTTTTATTTACAAGTAAAAGGGATTCTGCATTTTCTTCGAAGAGAGACCCTTTTGAAAGTGTAAATTTGATATTTACGGGTACAATTGCACGTCGATTGACGAAGAAATTCTCACTCGAGATTCTATCTATGCGGCATCGTTAAAGCCTCAATTGCTTCGCCAAAAACAGACAAGTATGGCAATTGAATTCTATTCAACAGTGGGAATTAAAATTTCTTCCAAGTCTAAACAAATTTCAGTGTGTGGTAAAAAATAAATCTAACACAAGAATTTTTTACTTTCTCTAAATTTGAATTAGTAAAAATGTTCAGTTTTTGCATTTGGATTAGTTATAATCTAAATAATTATAATTTTTATTCAGCCACTAATTTAAATTATAAAAATCTTTTACCAATTTACAAAGTTTCATAAAAAATTCCAACTTTTAACTAATTTAAGACTTCTTTAAAAAATAAAAAAAATGTACAATTATTCAACTCTATACTTTTTATTTAATGGAGCATTTCTTTCGCATTTCTTCAGAACTGGAAATTACTATTAGTAGTTTCAAGGCAATTAAAAGGTAATTGAGCTGATTCGACGCCTTATTAACTTCCTTTTTATAGTAGCACGTTTTCAAGTTCCTGGACTTTTAAGGGTACATTGATTTTGCTTCTTTTTACAAGCAGAAGCACTTGGTCGCCTTCCTTCGCTGAAAGTGTTTTTCATCACCTTTGATCATAAAGGATGTGAATTTAAAGCTAGACACTCTCACTGCTTTCGAATAAGCTTACTCCCAATGAAAATCTTTTCAATGTTCAGCAAACTACTTTTATTAAAATATTCTAAAGACGCATTCATAAATATTTATTACATTTATATATTACAGTTTCTTTTTTAATGTAAATGTTTACCTAACATATCGCGACAGGAAAAAAAAAACAATATGTTAAATATTTTCATACCTTACGGGACAATAAATAAATTTCCAAATAAAATAAAAATATTTGTCAAAGACAAAATTAATTTCATTTTTTTTTCTAATTGAAAATTAGAAGCCTGTTGATATTTGAGTCGTAAAATAATTACACAAATTTAATTAACTGACAACTGTTTGAGTCAAATGTTTTAGAAAAATAGACATTAGTGTTTATTCTATTTATTACTAATAGTAAAAATATTTTTTTATTTTGCTTTTAGAAATTTCAGAGAGAGAGAGAGAGAGAGAAAAATTTATAGAAGTTTAATGTTTAAAAAATAAATTAGCTCATTATTTTAATAAATATTATTATTCATTAAATATATTATAATAGAAATCGATATTCTATTTACATTCGTTGTGTGATTTTGGACAAGCCAAACTTGACGTGAATTTTGTTCGATGATAGAACACAAAGTTGACGAAGCAATTAATCAATGAAAGAATAGTTAAAAATTATATTCAATTCGTTAATAATTTAATGTTTAATTAATAATTTTAAAAAATGGTATTAATTTAAAAATTAGTTAATTGATCAACAGTTATGTAATTATAACTAGTCGACTGATCAATCAAATAATTACACAATTAATATTAAAAGGGAAATACATGATTAATGCGTGTTTGAGTAGAAACTTCAATTAATAATCAATTAATTAGTATTGTAGAATTTCGCTACTTCCTTTCTCGCAGCTTCGATAATAGTTGGATTACAGTGATTATGATCCCAATTAATTCCCGGACATCCCAAAGTCTCGAAGCAACTAGCCGCCTGACCACTTCTTGGACAACAATGAATCACTGCCCAAATACAAGGTCCTGGCCCTTTCACTGGCGGTCTTCGAGTCGCTGGCGCTGGAAATCGAGCAGCTTGAATTCCTCTGTGATTCGGATTAATTCCCTGCAATACAATTTTTATTCAAACAATAAAACTATTCCAAACAGAAATACTCTTTGAAAAGCATCAGAAAAGAATCAGAAAAAAAATTTGCATACACAAAAATTAAGTTGAAACTGCGGAGAGCGGAGAGCGGAGAGAATGAATAAAGTTAATAATTGAAAAAATGATTGACTGATGAAATGATGAATGGAAGAGAAAGGGGGAATGAAAGACAAGAGGAAATGAAAAGCTTGGAATATCATTATTAGCTATCTTGACAATCAGCGCTAATAATAGTACTCAGTGGTTGGATTTAACATGTCCTATCAGTCATTCCAATCAAATAGTGCCAAGAGGTTTCGAGATATTCGATTCGGTACGCTACTGCTCTCACCGGAAAATCGATTTCGCTACCAAAGCCGCCTCTCGAGAACAGCACTGGAGAAGAGGAGTTGGTGCCGGATCCTCCCGGACGAATTATTATCGTCGCACTCACAGGTAGAGAGTTCAGACTCTCCTCTTCCTGTCGTCTACGATACTCGTCCATGCTCCTCACACTATCCTGTCTCCTTCTTAATTCCTGATACCTTTTTTCAAATCAAACAAAAGCAACAAGTTCAATTGTCATTAACATCACTCACTGTCCTTAAAGTCTAGGCATATCCTCTTTAATTGTTTCATTTTAAGAAACAACCGGATACAATCATTATACTTTATTATTGAGTCATTCAACTCTCCTTACATTGTATTTCCTGACACTTACATAAAAAATTACCTTATAGTAAAATTTATTAACAACAACAATTCAAATCAACTATTCTTATTTTTTTTAAACATATTCAGGCTTCGCACTCATCTACTAAAACCTACTATTTTATTTTCACGTTATGCTACTATTTGGGTCCTTTTTTTAGATTTCAGCCGCTAAAAGCAATACTATTTCTGTTTTTAATGTTAGAATTTTAGAAATCTGTTAGATTGGAAGACAAAAGATGATAAAATTATTAGTGTATTAGAAGAAATTAAGTTTGTCTAAGGATATCAAATTGAGACAAAAAGCAAATCAAAAATGTTGCGAAGCCACGTTTTTGATTCGTTTTTTGTCTCAATTTGATATCCTTAGACGAACTGGGAATTTACTATTTACTACTTTTTTTATGTTATGATACTATTTGGGTCCATTTTTTAGATTTCAGCCACTAAAAGCTACTATTTCTGGTTTTTTTTTTAAATTTCCACAACTTTAAAAATTCGCTAATACTAGAAATTAAAACACTATTCTCAATAATTATAATCAAATGCTTTAAAACGATTCAATTATTTTCAAAAAATATTCGAAATTTAATTATTTTCATGAAATTTCACAAAAGAATTCAATTATTTTTTAAAAAAATTGACCAAATTTATCCAAAATTCAATTATTTTTATAAATAATAAAATTTCCACAGGAATTCAATTAAAACAATAAATTAAAATAGCATTTGCAAAAAAAAATTTCAAAAAAATCAATTATTTAACAAAATTTTTATACAATTCTTCACAATAATTCAATTACATTCCCTAATAACATTTTTCATTGAAATTCAATTTTTTAAAAAAAATTTTGTTAAAATTCTAAGAAAGAATTCAATTATTTTCATAAATAATAAAACTCATCGAAGAATTTTAATTTTCCACAAGAATTCAATTATTTAAAATACAATTTTCATAATATTTATTATATTTCGAAAAAATTAATTATTTAAAACAATGTTTATAAAATTCCTATGAAGAATTCAATTATGTCGATAAGTAACAGAATTATTCCTAGAAAATCAATTATTTTGAGGCATTTTAATAAAATTTTCAGGAAAAATTCAATTATTTTCAAAAATAACAAAATTTTTCAGAGAAATTCAATTATTTTCAAAAATAAGAAAATTTAATTTAATTTTATTAAAAAATAATAAAAATTTTAACGAGAAATAAATTATTTAAAAAAATTTGAATAACATTCTTCACAAGTATTCCATTATTGTCATAAATAATAAAATTTTTCAAGAGAATTCAATCATTTAAAAAAAATTTGAAGAAAATTCTACCCAAGAATTCAATTATTTTCATCAATAATATAATGATTCTCAGGAATTTAATTATTTTTGAAAATTTTAATAAAATTTTTAGTAAATATTCAATTATTTTCATAAATAATAAAATTCATCGCAGGATTTCAATTATTTTTAATACAATTTTATACAGAAATTGTTCAAAAAATGGAATTATTCTTAGAAATTTAATATTTTAATATTTTTTTTAAATTCTTTGGAAGAATTCAATTATTTACAAAAATATTAAAATTTTTCGCAGGAATTCAATTATTTTCAAATATTTTAATTCGAAATACTTCGAAAGAAATCAATTAATTTAAATACAATATTAATTATGTTTTTTTTAAATAATTCAATAATTTTTTTAGATGTTAATAAAATTCTTTGCAAAATTAAATTATTTTCATAAATAACAATATTCATCACAAGAATTCAATTATTTTAAAAAATTCTAATAAAATAGTTCGCGAGAATTCAATTATTTTTTAAAAAATTGAATAAAATAACACAAAGGCATTAAATTATTGTTAAAAATTTTAGTAGAATTCTTTGTAAAATTTAATTATTTTTAAAAACTTTTGGTAATTCAATGTTTTTCAATGTCTACTATCTTCATATTTCGAAACAGAATTCAATTATTAAAAAAAAATTTTGTAAAAATGTTCACAAGAATTTATAATTCAATTATTTTCATAAATAATAAAAATTTCCCAGGAAATCAATTTTTTAAATTAGAATTTGCATAGAATTAATCGAAAGAAATCAATTATTTAAAAAATTTTATAAAATTCTTCGCAAGAATTAAATTATTTTTCGATAGCTATTTTTTTTTAGTTTGAAAGACACTTTTTGTTACTTTTTTAAAATTAATTATCGAGTGCGAAGTCTGAACATTTAAAAATTTCTAAATTCAATTTTGTTTTTTTATTGCAAACTTTGTTTACAGACCAATCAATCTTAATCCGAATTTCCGTTCTCAATCTGAAACAAGGATTGAGGTAGTTTGAAATTCAGTTTTGCAGTGAAATAATGGGAATCATTGTTCACCTTTTGATAAAACTAGGAATTGATTCAGAAAATAATTTCCTATTGAAATAGTGATGGAAAAATAAAGCTGATTAAGTAAATACTAAATACAGTTTTTACCTGCTATCATGTTCTCTGTTCTGCCTTTCCACATCATTCCTTCTTCTTTCCTCTTCTAATCTCTGACGATCTCGTTCATACTCAGGATTTATTCTCTGTGGCTGATATCCCTTATTATTTAAATCCGGTGGTGGTTGATAACCTTTGTTATTTAAATCAGGTGGTGGTTGATAACCCTTTTGGTTTAAATCTGGCGGTGAAGGAGGCGGTTGATAACCTTTATTATTCAAATCAGGTGGTGGTTGGTATCCTTTGTTATTAAAAGTAGGAGGAGGAGGTGGTTGATAACCTTTGTTATTTGCATCGGGAGGTGGATATTGATAGCCCTTCTCGTTAGACGGGGGAAATTGGTAGGGTCTAATCCAAGGAGGTCGTCGTTCTGCCTGAGATCTCCTGTTCGCCTCGTGCATCCACTCTTGCCTCATTCTCTCGCCTTGACTTCTCATTTTCTCGTGCCACAATCTTTCCTCTTCGTACCGCTGTGACTTTCTTCTCCTATCTTCCTCCTCCAATCTCCTCTCCTCTTGCTCTATTCTTCTTCTGTCGGCCCTTCTCCTTTCTTCCTCCTTTCTCTCTCGTTCTCTTCTCATTTCTTCCATTTCGTCTCTCTGTCCCATGTCATTAGGCGGAGATGGTCCGTGATTTCTTCTGTTCTCCGGATGTTTCATTCCATTTGCACTAAATGGCCGAGTTGATTCCTTGGGTCTTTTCTGCTCCATCCAAATGGGCTCTCTATCTCTCCCTTGATGCCTGCTATCATAAAAGTGTCTGCTTCTTGGTGGATCTTGATTTTGTCTTCTTAATTCAAAAGGTCCTCTGGAATCGTCTGATGGTCTTTCGACGCCAAGAACAATGGGTGTGTTCGTTGATATGTAGGTTCGTAACTTTTTCTCGTTTTCTTGTTGATGCCTTCTATCGGGTCGCATCAGATTGGATGGTGATAGGTTTTCGTTTTGATTTCTCCGTCTTTCGGCTTCTTCTCTGTGTCTTTGTTCCTCGTATCGTCTTCTTTCATCTTGTCTTCTAGGCGATTGGTGTCTATTCCTTTCATCCTGTCTTCTATCTTCTTGGGGTCTTCTTCTCTGCTCCTGCGCTCTTCTCTGTTCTTCCAATCTTCTATTTTCATCAGACCTCCTTCTAGCGTCCAAATTTCTCCTTTCTTCTTCAGAAGAAGAATTGACTCTTCTTCTGTTCTCATTCTGTCCTTTTTCATTACTCGGCCAATTTCTTCTGTGAGAAGTCGTTCTTCGAAACTCTTCTTCCATTCTCCGCCTTTCGTCATGTCTTCGTCTATCTTCATCTCCTCGATCATTTTCCCCTCCCCTAAAAGTTTCATTCCTTTCTCTTCGATTTGCTTCTGGAACATGATGATTATGATGCTGACTTCTCCTCCTCTCTTCCTCTTGTCTGTATCGCAAGTAATCAGATCTACGTCTCTCGTCTTCCCTTCTTCTTTCCTCGTCCCTCTTTCTCTGATCCTCTCGTCGTCGCTCCTCTTCTTCTCTTTGTAATTCCTTCTCCCTTCTTCTATCTTCGTTTTCATAGGGCATAACTCCCTCATCTTCACCATATCCCCACATTTCCTCTCTATTGAGATCTCGTTTTCTTCTCAAAGGAGCTGTTAATTTAGAAATTGATAAAAGTTTACGAGCGTGGGTATCGTCCTTTGAATCTTTATATCCCTGAGCCATTATATCCCAATCTGCATCGAGAAAAGCTGAAGCCAAATCTCCACGAACCGGTAACTTTTCTTTCTTATCATATTCTTCGTACAGATGAACGGGAATGTCACCTCTGTGAGGAGGTGGGTTCTGTAGTTCCTGCTCCAACTTTTTCAGCTTTATGAGCTCATCCCTCTCCTCATAAAATACACCTTGAGGATCTTCATCTTCATCTGATTCATAGACGAGCTGTACATTCACGATATTTTCTGGATAGTGAGAAGGCGCTTCATCGTGACTCGAATCTTTCTTACTTGCAGATGAAAATCTCTTGTCTCGCAGACTAGCTTCCACACCTTCACATCCAACCTGCAACTCTGGTACTCCACCTATTCCAAAAGATTCATTCTCCGAATGATCTTCCAACTTATTCGTAAAACGTAGTTCCGGTGTCAAAATTCCGGATTCAATTCTCGTTTTCAAGTTTCTTAGAAATGGTATCTGAGATATTATTTGAGATTGATTTTCTTTCATTATATTTTTCTTTGGTTCGTATAAACTTTTGTTAAAGCTAGATTTACGTTTTTCATTTACATTTTTTTCGTTATTTTCATTATTCTCTTGTTCCTCATTTTCCCTCAGTTTATTTGAAGCATCCTCTTCCTTTTTCTTGGAAAGATTTCCATCAAAGAGTGAGCCCTCCTCGAAAAGGTCTAATTTATAGACCTCGATGGACCCGGGCCCTTCATCTTGAAATGAATCATAATCATCCGAGTAATCTTCCTCAGAGACAGATTTCTTCTTTTGTTGTTGTTGTTGTTGTTGTTGAGCAATAAGTAGATCCTTCTGACGAGTAAATTCTTTTCTATTGAAACTTTTTTTGGAATTTCGCGCGGCGACATCTTTAAATTGAATTTCATCTTGGATACCATCTTTAATGGAAAGATTCAAGTCAACTTGTTCTGGACCAATCCCGTAAGACCTATCCTGAGATCCTGAAAGAGTTTACATAATTGAACGACACTCCCAGTCGTTTCGCATCTTAGCTTAGAAAATACAAGAGATACAAGTAAGTGCATCGAACCCAACGCGAGTCTGCGAAATCTTTAACCAAGATCTTAAAAACTTTCTCGTTTGCAGAATTATAAAACAAGAAAAGGGACACCCCGACTCATAATGAAAGATAATAGAAAGATGCTAATGAACTTTGTTTTTTGAAATTTTAATTACCTTTTTTAGTTTTTTTTGAATTTTAGTGAAAAGATAAGGAAATAATAAGAAAGGTACTTGTTGAAACTTTCAAAGAATCTCCCTCTTTAAAAACTAGAAGTTGTTGTTATGCTATTTTTGAACGGACATTTAATTTTTGTATCTCATTTTTATTAATGGTTAAATAATTACATTACTTAATTGCACCAAGAAAATAATTGTTAATACAGCTTCTGTGTTAACTGTGTTAAAAAGGTTAATAGTACCTCGAAGAAAAGTCCCTCGAGGTGGTTTTAAATTTGACATCTCGATCGGTTGGCGCACGTTGGATGTTTGATTGTGTTTCGAAGTAAGAAGATCCTTTGGATCCTGCAACTTGGAGTTTGCATGGCCCTGAGTTTCTTGGGTAACTTCATGATGCTTGGGGGATTGTTGGGGGGAGTATTGATCGAGGGAGGGATGGGAGGGGTAAAGGGTGGCAGAAAATACCCCAACTGCGCCTGCTAACCAGACTGTGGCCAGAGCCACTGTCACCCCTGGCTGCATCCTCCTGCAATCAAACGGATGTTTGCCATTATTTTTTAAACGGAACAACACTCTGCCTCACACCCACATTTATACTCCCCGAAACTGAACGCCTATGCCTGAAAACGTTTTCCTTTCTCTGCCAATTTTATGCTACCAAAAAAAAATAAAGGAAGTGCTACATTCTTTAACCATGAATGAATACTTTAATATTTTTCCCGCTCAAACTATTTCGTTGGATGAATTAAAATGGAATAATGATTTAGAAAATAGAATTTACAAATAAGTTTGTACTTATTTGTAAAATAACAGGAAACAAAAGAGTCCTATTAAGTGAACCCAAATTATTAACTAATTGCCGTTAACAACATTTCATCAGTACTTGTAATTAATTGACTCTTTAAATACTCAGACCAAAGTTTTGATTAACATTCCATTAGTTTATGTCCGAGTAATATGTCATGCATGAATCAATCAATATTTTAAATATTAAACACCGAATTTCTTTTAATCAGTCTGAAATAAAAATGTTGATTAAATATTTATAGCTTCCAAAACTTTTCAAAGGGTATTATAATCTAGAAATTTGGTATACAATATTTTTGTACGAAAAACTGTGTAGTTCTTGTAAAATAGTTGATGTACACTCAAGCACCTTTTTGCCAGGCACAAACCGGTGCGCAATTTATCCAAATAATATGAAAAATTTTTGTAAATAATGAGGCCTCTGTGGTTTAATAAATTTTTTACGAGTCAGGAATTTTAGTAAGCACCTTCAGAGGATCAAAGGAAAAAGATCTCCTTGAAACTAGAATTCATCCTAGTGAAATAATATTGTGAATGTATTTTTAAAATGATTCGAGAAAATTTTTTCCTATGACGTCAAAATGTCATATCTGAAAGTGAGAAAAGAAGCTTGAATGTTAATTTATGACAATTGTTCCGTTCGCGATCTGAGGAAGAAAAAAGAAGCTTAACGTTTCTTTCTTGCATTCCGCTTTTCTTGGTTTCTCCGTTGGCTGATAGTTTTCAAAGTATTATAACTTTTATGTTAAAAATATTTCTTTTCAAATATACCGAGACATTCCATGTCCTTTGATATTCTTGAAATAAAATAAATAAAATAAAATCCTTTGGTCACTTTCTTTAGAGATAAACGAAAAAATTTCAAAAAATAAGAGAAGAATTTAAAAAAGTATCTTTCAACTGATAAATAAAAATTTTTCGTTTATAAAATTCGTAATGTAGTTTTATCAACTGAAAACAATTATTTATAGCTGGAATTCGTACTTAAAGAGTGAGCGTGAAAATTGATTAGCATTGAAGTGAGAGTAATCACTAATTATCGACATAAAACAGCTCTGAACAATGGCCTCTTTTCAATTAACAAGATCGTACAATACTTATTATTTATCACCACCATTGTTTATTTTCTCTCCCTTATATGTGGAAAAGAATAATTCCTTCTCAATGAATTTAATTTTAATTTCCCAATCCCAATAGTATAATTTCTTGCTCTATAAATTGCAAACCGGCGAAAATTTGGCTCTGCTTCTTGGCAAGCGGAACAATAGTAATTATATGAAGCTAAATGAAATTCACTTTCTTTGCGCATGAACTTAAAAGACAGAGGATACATTTAAGTTTTAAACTTTGATTAGGTAAAAGAGTCTAATGTGAATTTCAGAGCATTTCAGAGTAAGCATAAGTACTCCTTTTGAGAAGGAAATGTGAAAATCTAAACATGTCTGGAAAAGACTTGGAAAAAAGGAACAAAGCAAATAATACAAAAGCTAGTAAAAACAACTGGAGGATAAAACAAAACTGAAAAAGAAAAGAAGTCGTGAGTAAACAACCTTTAATGAAACTACCGCTGGGCAAAGATATCCAAGGAAGAAGAAAAGGTTCGAGACAAATAAATTGTTTTTAAACAAATTACTCCTGCTCAAAGTAAACCTAACTTGAAAAGGATAGTAGTAGTAGTAGTTTCATTCACCCTATTTTCTCCTATCTTTGTATTATCAACTTGTGCAAAACTTTACATATTTCCCAGTGCAGAAAACTTTTATATGTATAATCTTTTTGTGCAATTATAACAATTATAAAATATCAGCTTTTATTATTTTACGATTTTAATAAAAACAAAACCACAAAAATTTAATTTTGTTTTTTCCTCACTTTCACCTGATTTCCAGACAAAATTTTCACTTTTTCCCTGAACCTAAATAATATTCTGCGAATCACTCTAAAAATAAGATACTTAAAAAAATGTTCAATTACATTATTTTATTTACAAATGTATTGAATTGTAAAATTGTTCAAAAACACCAATAACTACATTTTTAAATAAATATTTAATCATTATTATTTTTCGATGGAAACTCGGATTTTCGAAATTTCTAATTCAAACCTTTGATTGAAATTCAATAACTTATAACAATATTATTACAAAACATGAAGAAATTGATTGCTCCGAGTCGATTTCTTCATGTTTTATAATAATTAAAGATGACCGAGTGATAACATCATTATTAAATTTTATAAAAATATTTGTTACTGTATTTCATCATTTCAATTTAATTATTATTTTCTACAATTTTTAAACAAAATTCTTCTTTAAATCAATTATTTTTAATAATTTTTGACAAAGTTCTACTTTGAGAATTTTTAAATCCATTTCTTTACAATTCATTTTTACGTGAAACTTCAATTATTCGAAAATTCTTCAATTAAATATACATTAGAAAATAAAAACTTGAAATAATTTTAAAAAATTTCGATTAAGCTTTTTCAAAAAAAATTGGTTCCATTAAATTTTTAATTAAAAGTATGAAAAATTCAGATTTTCAAAGATATTAATTTAAAACCTTTACAAAATTCAATTATTTCTAAAAATTGCAATTATTAGTAACTTTTCAAAAATTCAATTATTATTTAAAACTTTACCTGAAATTAATTTTTAAATCAATTTTTAATAGAAAGTTCAACGAGGATTCAATTATTTGAATACAAACATAGATAATTTATTAAATAATTGAATGTTTCTTAAAATTTAATTTTCGTAAAGAATTTAATCAACAAAATTTTAAATTAATTGAATTCTTTCGACAAACTTTATTTACATTTTTAAGAATAATTACATTTTTCGAGGAATTCTATTAAAATTGTGTCGAAAATAATTGAAATTCTGCAATGAGTTTCATTATTTATGAAAATAATTGAATTATTGCAAAGAATTTTTCAAAAAAGTTTCAAACAATTGATTTTTTTCGTAAAAATTTATGCAAATTCTATTTTTAATGATTGAATTCTTGTAAAATTTTGTACTAATTTGGAAAATAATTGAATATTCGTGTAGAACTTTATCAAAATTGATTTATTAGAATTGAATTCTTTTGGGAAATTTTATTAAAATAATAGGTATAGAATTATTAAATTAAAAAAAATTGTCGAAAATAATTGAATTCTTGTGATGAATATATTGTTAATTATAAAAATAATTGACTTTCTCAGAATGATTTTATTATATTTATGAAAATAATTAAATCTCTGAAAAAAATTTTATAATTTCTGAAAATAATTGAATTCTTGTGATGAATATTGATGTTTTTATGAAAATAATTGTATTTTACAATGAATTTTATAAAAATTCCTGAATATAATTGAATTTCGGCGAAGAATTTTGCTATTTATAAAGATAATTGAAATGTTGACGAGAATTTTTTTTTAATTTCTGAAAATAATTGAACTTCTGGAAAGAATTTTAATATTTATTACGATAGTTGAATTTTCTCAAAGAATTGCGTTTAAATTTTAAGAATTGAAACTAATTTCAACAGAATTGAAATTAAAATTTTGCAAAAAAATACTTCATTAAATGATTTATAAGTAATAACTTTATGGCAGTTCTTTAATAGAATTAAGTTATTTAAAATAAATTATTGTCAGAAATAGAAAAAATTCAACGTTCTTTTTTAAATTTGTAGTAATTTCATAGTTTATGAGGCAAACAAAAAGACTGGGACAAAAATTCAGAATTTTCTTATAAATTCTAAACATTTAGTGCTTTTGTTTTAATAAAAATCCCTGACTTTTCCCTGATTTCCCTGACTTGTGGCAACACTGATTTATTACCTTACATTTTTCAAAATTTACTATACACTAAGGTAAATGAGAAATGAAGAAGTGAGAAAGAGAGTTTCTAAAAATAAAAATTAATTAAAATTAAAATTTCTTGAAGTGCGTAAAACTTTTAATCACAATCAGTCTCTTTAAATACCACCACCGACCACCACGTTCAATGTGAAATATTTTAAACCCTGAATATTTCAATTTAAATACATTGAATAAAGAATTTTCAACTTTTTGCTTCCTTGAAAGAAGTGAAATAGTAAATTTCCATTTTAATAAAATACACGTTTCTCTATTAAAGTTGAAATAGGTTTTAAAAAAGTTAGTCTCCGCGAATGAACTTAATGCAGTGTTGATATTGTTCCAGAATCAACTAAAAATCGCTCTTTGATTACAGCCCTCATGGTCTGTATAACAACTTGTTTTCAAACAAATCAATTTTGCATATATTACTTCTACGTCGAGGCCACGTAGTTTGCAAAGAGAAACAACCCTGTAAAATCTCTCTGGAACAGAAACCGGCTCGAAGAGAGTTGATTCCCTTGCGTGCCATGTTGGCCTGATGCCCACAAAACATTCTAGATAAACAATGTACAATGTACAATGTACATACGTAATAGGCGCACATTTTATGAATAAAAATTACTATTTCACGCTTACATTAAAAAATCCACCTCTATTGATCATGATAAGGATCCGTTCTTTTAAATTAAACAAAAAATTGTTCAAAGCTTTGTTTAACAGAAGAAAATAGAGAAAAAAAATGTGGACTGAAAAAATACCTTGCGAATTTAAAAATATATAATCAGAAAAAAGTGCACGTGAAAAATTCACGATTCAATTCTTTTTTTTTATGAGAAATATTTGATGCATAAGAGAAAGGACAACGAGTTTTTCCACTCTGACAAAATGAACGTGA